GCAATATTTCACAATGTTAAGATATCTGATGCATGTCCCAGAAAAGGCAAAGAAATGCACATTTGATCTTAGGAATATAAATGCAACGACCAGTTTTCAACATTCAGGTTTGTCAGCCCTCTGCTGATGGGTGGCCCCAGCTGGCTGACTTGAGTCCGATCTCAGGAGCTAAGCAGGGTCAGGCCACTAAGGAAGTCCAGGTTGCCGCACAAAGGCAGGCAACGGGAAACCACCTCTGCTTGTCCCTTGCCTTCAAAACCCTGTGCGGTCACCGTAAGTAGGCTGCGACTTGACCGCACTTTACATGCAGAGAGATGTGGTGCTGGGGTTCCATTCGTGCAGATTCAGTTTCATGAGAACGGAAACCATACCTGCTTTGGAAATCTGCTCATTGCCATATGCACATGATACAGCAGTGGTCCTGGCACTCTAGAGCTAGATCTGAATCTGAATCTGGTAGTACCTTAGAGAGCAATGAGATTTTCAGGATAAGAGTCTTCAAGAGTCATACCTCCCTTTGTCAGGTACCAGGGATCACTATCTCTCGAAGAAGGAGGAGAAGAGGAGGAGGAGGAGATTGGATGTATACCCCACCCTACACTACCTGAAGGAGTCTCAGAGCGGCTTACAATCTCCTTTCCCTTCCCCTCCCCACAACAGACACCCCGTGAGGTAGGTGGGGCTGAGAGATCTCTCTCAAGAACTGCCCTTGAGAGAACAGCTCTGAGAGAACTTATGACCGACCCAAGGTCACACCAGCAGCTGCATGTGGAGGAGTGGGGAATCAAACCTGGTTCTCCCAGGTTAGAGTCTGCGCTCCTAACCCCTACACCAAAAGCTTATACCCCGAAAACCTTATTGGTCTATGTGGTGCTACTGGACATAAATCTGGCTGTTCGACTGCAGACCAACTGGGCTTCCCTCTAAAACTAGCTCCTGGAACGTGTGGCTGGCAGGAACCCACTCTGTGTGACCAGCACGCCCGCACAGCATCCTCTACAGAGGGCTCGAGAGTCACATGAATGACGGTCTACAGTACATTCCAAAGTGTGCTTGCAAAATGGAATCGTGCATATGCATTATAGTTGTGGTATTTTATTCAGACAGCACACACACCATGCTCATCATAGACGGAGGTCTAGTGACTTCGTACTGGATGAAGCAACCTTCTCTAAACTCTCCCCTGCTTTTATGCCACATCAGTTTGATACAGAATAATTACCCCTCTCTGGGCTCTGAACACAGAATCACTGACACTGTTCAGAAATCCCACTGTACCAGCCATATGTCTGCCAGGCGATAAGCCAAAGATTTACATGTTCACTTTCATGTTGTGATCTTTGGAAATCATGGGGTGGATCCTGTCTCTAGCCTACCGCTTTGCCAAACCAAGTTTCTGTGGCCCATTCTGCATCTAGCATTCACTCCGTCGTTTTACCAAACCCACATTGGAACAGGAAAAGACGTGGCTCAGAACCACATTCAAATATCCCGGGGCCAAGGGCGTACTGACTGCAGAGTCACCCCTGAATGGCCGTAAAACGGCCATAAATCTATGCAGACAGAACCATAAAACTGAGAGATCAAACTAAGTGAGAGTGGCCATGCAATGCAGAGGGGGATTGTAGAACAGCGGAGCAAATGCGAGACGCAGAACGGGCCAAGTATGTCTGTAGGTTAATAGGTTTATGCCCAGCCTTTCCTTGTGGCACAAGTTTGCTTCCTCCAGTCGAAGGAGCCCTTCTCACGCTCGGAGGAAGAGCCCTTTAAGTTGGAGGAAGCGCCAGACGTCAGAGAAAGGCTCCACAGAGGATAGTTGGATCCAGGGGTCATTTCGTAGAAAAAGAGGTGCAGGAGCTCATTAGCATAACTCACTAGCACAACTCATTTGCATATGCCACACCCCCTGACATCACCGGCTCGTGCCTGAATAAAACTTGGTCTTAAAGGTGCCACTGGACTGTTTTAGATTACTAGCTATTGGGGGGGGGGGATGTGCAGATCTGTCCTCACAGTGGAGGGAGAGCTTGTACCTGAAGGCAGGATGGGGGGGGGCTCTGCAACTTACCTGGCTGCTTCTTGCTCCTCGTGGCCCAACTGAGGGCTGCTAGGAGCAGGGGGCGGGGCTTGTTGCATGTGCCCGCCCCCTGAGCTCCTTACTACCTGAGCTCCGCTCCTGTGTGCTCCCTCAGGAAATGACCCCTGGTTGGATCCACCCCATTGTATATGAAAACTGGACTTTTCCCTTCTTGCAATTGTGAAGACCTCTGGAGACGAGTGCCTGGTATCTTTGCATCCGGATGTAGCATGGCCAACTGTGGCTTGGGAAATCCTTGGAGATTTGGAGGTGTTACCTGGAGAGGGTGGGATGTGGGGAGGCAAGAGGACTGAGCGGGGGATGTGATGCTGTACAGTCCACTCTCCGATGCTGCTGTTTTCTCCAGGGGAACAGACCTCTGTAGCCCGGAGATCATCCAGAATTCCAGGGGAACTCCAGGCCCCACCTGGAGGTTGGTACCCCTGTCTGTGCAATTCACTATTTTGTAGGCAGCCGGTTCGTAGCTGCTACTGGGGCATGCTCAGGAAGTCTTGGACTGCAAGTGCTCGATGGGGGTGGTAGGTTCCTCACAGTGTGATCCTAAGCGGAGTTGAAGTCTTCCAAGTTCATAAAAATCAGTGGACTTAGAAGGTGTGTCACTCCGCTTAGGAAGGCACTGTCAGTCTTTCAGGTTAATTCAGGAGGCTGCTAAATGTATGACTCCCATCAACACCGAAAGGGAGTCATTTGCAAGAAATACGGGTTTATCCTCTGTTTCAAGAGCCGGGGCTTCTCTGCAGTTCTTATTGTCCTCACTTGAGGGCCCATTCTGCATCATTCCCCCCCTTTTCGGCTTGTGTTTTGCTCCCTCTGGTGGTCACTTGACTATTTCATCACTGTATTTCCGGTTTATTTCCGGGCACTTTTGAAGTGCTTGGGAATAAATGACTGATACAGCAGTGCAATATCGAAATGACCACTAGAGGGACCAAAGCACGTGAAGAAAAGAAAGAAATGCAATACTGGCACACAAACAATGAAATAACATATGCAGAAAAGCCCCCCCCCCCCGTCTCTGCAACAGGTTGTTCCCCCTCCCTTTGTAAAGCCTGTGGCTTGGAGAGGGAGGGAAGGAAGGAGAAAATAAAGGGCTGCAATGGTCACTGAGAGGTAAAAAATAAGGCTAAGGCCAATGGTGCAACTAAGAAAAAAATACATATATTTTAAAAAGGTAAAGGTTCCCTTGCTCGAAAGCCAGTCGAGTTCGACTCCAGGGTTGCGGTGCTCATCTCCGTTTCAGCCTAAGAGCCAGCGCTGTCCAAAGACGTTTCCGTGGTCATGTGGCCGGCATGACTAAACACCAAGGTGCACGGAATGCTGTTACCTTCCCACTGAAGTGGTACCTATTTATCTACTTGCAATTTCTTGCTTTCGAACTGCTAGGTTGGCAGGAGCTGGAACTAGAGACGGGAGCTCACTCCGTCATGCTGCACACTCGGGTTTCGAACTGCTGAACTACTGACCTTCCACAGCCTGCAGTTCAGCGTCTTAACCACTTGAGCCACCGCAGCTCCTAACATATATTTTACCACTCAGCTAAAAATTCCCTACGCGTTCCACCAGGGGATACTTAAATGGTTTTGCATTTACTTGATTGCAATGAACAATTTGATTTTTTAGATTTTTTAATTTTTATAATTTATCTAAATAACCATCGTTATATAACTACAAGCAGGAACCCGTGAGACATTCACAGGAAAATTCCCCCACAAGTTCTATGTTTGAGTCTATGTCCCAGAAAAGAACCTGAAGCACAGTTAATGCTTGTCACATATTATATAGCTGCCACTTCTGTTTCCCTCCCTGGCTTGTAAGTACAGCTGTTGTACACTCACCATTGTCTCTCTCCTTAGCCACTAGCTCTTTGCCTTCTTATCTATTGCTGAATTGTAAGTGCCTTGCAGTCAGAGACCTGCCGATTTTCATTTTAACCTGTAAATGTCTGTGAGGTACATGCTGATATCACTGTGTACATAATTAAAAACAATTGCATGTAATGCAGGAGGTCGTCTTCTTCCTTTTTTAAGTTTTCAGATTTTTCTGCAAACCTATGGGGTCACCCAAGTTTGCAGAAAAACTTGCTTGGGGTAAGTATACCCCCTATCTGTGGAAATAAGTATCTGCACATAGGGGACTGTTGGGAATTAGATATATAGATGGGAACTCAGTGTTGTATTTGTATAATATTCTTAGATTCCCCCAAAAAAAGCCTGTTAGTGAAACGTGGAGGGAATTTTTAACTGAGTAACAAAACAGACATTTTCCCTTTACTTGAACCATCAGCCTTGCCCTTATTTTTATCTCTTGGAGTGGGAAGGACCTGGAAGGTGTGAGGGAACTCCCAGTGAGAACAACGAGCACCTCTGTTGGTGTGTGTGCATGCATGAACATATTTTGTGAGCATCCTTCAAACGCTCCAAAATGCAGGTCAAGCATTTTCAAGGGACCGTCTGGAAAGCTTACCAAAAAAAGTAAGCAGTTTTGGGACACGCATGGGGGCCTTTGCTCATCTTGACCAATTACCTGGGAATTTCTTCCCCCCTCCCTTCCCTAGTCTGCTCCCCTATGAGTTCCCCCATACCTGCCCGTTCCTTCCCTACCTCAAACCACAATCTTTGCCACCCAGAAAAGGAACAGGCAGAAGAACCTGCAGCAGTTGTGCCTTCTGCTCAATTTCAAAGCTACAGCCAAAACCTTCAGGTATCATCCTGGTGACGCTGTTCATAAGCGCAAATGGAATGAGTGAGAAACAGCCATTGACCAGCCGGTCAAACACAGCCATTGTGGGCACAATAGAATGGCGACTGTTTGTTGAGGGGCATCTAGCCTGCCTTAAATGTACCTGAACTCCAATTAGCACCTTAGAAGTACCGATGGATTAAGGCTGAGCCTCGGGCAGCGGTTATAAGTGTGACTGGTAGGACACGTGCTGATAATCATCACTCTCCATGAGCAGAGGCTGGGTCTCCTCCAAAATCATCTTCTTCTTCCGACATCCCAGCACAACACATCCAGCGATCAGTGCAGTGAGGAGGCCACCTAACACGGCCGCTCCTAACAACCAGGGCCAGATCTGTCGGGCTTGCTCCCAATAAGGCACGAACAAAGTCTGGAAAGGGTCATCTGCAAACAAAGAGCAAAAGGGAGGAAGTGCCCTCACGTTAACATCAAGGAACAGGTAACAGCAGGCATGCTGGAACACTGACCAGCGATGTGGGAACAGAGAGACCTTGTTCCAGCAATGATTGGTGTTTTTTCAACCTCACGAAGTGCTTCAGACTCATAAGAACAAAAGAGAAGCCAACGTTGGATCAGGCCAATGGCCCATCTAGCCCAACACTCTGTCACGGTGGCCAAAAATACCAGGTGCCATCAGGAGGTCCACCAGTGGGGCCATGCGTCAAGGCTGAAGTGCCCATTTGCAAATGGACTCTTTGTCTGGAGTTCAGAGAATGCGAGGCCGCCATGATGCAAGCACTCTTACTAAGACAGTTGGGAAGGGGCTGTAGCTCAGTGGTAGAGCCTCTCCTTGACATGCAGAAGGTCCCCGATTCAATCCCTGGCATCTCCCATTAAAATAAACAGGTGGTAGGTGACGTGAAAGACCTCTTCTGCCTGAGACCCTGGAGAGCTGCTGCCAGTCTGAGCAGACAATACTGACCTTGATGGACCAAAGGTCTGGTAAAGGATAAGGCAGCTCCTTGTGTTCATGTCTTACATCCAGGTGAGTTTCATGCTATCTCCTATAGCTTTACGTCATGCGAACAGGAGGTCCTGCTGAATCAAACAAAGCATGCAATTCCCTGTTTCCCGCAGTGGCCAATCAGATGCCCTGGAAGGCTTGCAAGGAGAGTCATAGTGGCCCAAATCTGCCAATTTTTTCGCCCTCCAGCATTCAGATGCACACACTGGATGTCCATTCAGCTGTTGTGACTAGAAGCCATTGATGGACCCCTCCTCCCTGAGTTTGTCGCATGCCTTTTAAAAGCTGTCTAAGCTAGAAGCCATCACTACATCACAGGGCAAGTTGTTCCACAAGTGCATTGTGGATTATGTGAAGAAGCGTTTCCTTCAGTCTACTGCTCATCAACTTTGTGAGATGTCACCAACATTTGGGGAGGGTGGAGGGGTCTATCAGTGGCTACTAGCTACGGTGACTGGAGGGAATGCCCATGTTCAGGGACAGTCAACCTCTGAAATCCAGAGCTAGGAGGCAATACCAGGGGAAGAACTTGGTCTCTGTACCCTGTACACTGGCCCTCCAGGGGAACTGGTTGGCTACTGTGGGAGACAGGATGCTGGACTAGATGGACTATTGGTCTGATCCAGCAGGGCTCTTCTGATATTCTTATCAGGGGAAGGCCTCTGCCTCTATGCACTCTTGTTGGCCCTCCAGAGGAAATGGTTGGCCACTGTGTGAGACAGGACGCTGGACTAGATGGACCACTGGTCTGATCCAGCAGGGCTTTTCTTATGTTCTTGTCATGGGAAGGCTTTTGCCTCTATGCACTGTTGTTGGCCATCCAGAGGAACTGTTTGGCCACTGTGTGAGACAGGATGCTGGACTAGATGGACCCTCACTGGTCTGATTCAGCAGGCCCTTCTTATGTTCTTATCAGGGGAAGGTCTCGGCCTCCATGTCCTGTTGTTGGCCCTCCAGAGGAACTGTTTGGCCCCTGTGTGAGACAGGATGCTGGACTAGGTGGACCACTGGTCTGATTCAGCAGGCCCTTCTTATGTTCTTATCAGGGGAAGGTCTCGGCCTCCATGTCCTGTTGTTGGCCCTCCAGAGGAACTGTTTGGCCCCTGTGTGAGACAGGATGCTGGACTAGGTGGACCACTGGTCTGATTCAGCAGGGCCCTTCTTATGTTCTTATCAGGGGAAGGCCTCAGCCTCCATGCCCTGTTGTTGGCCCTCCAGAGGAACTGGTTGGCCACTGTGTGAGACAGGATGCTGGACTAGATGGACTATTGGTCTGATCCAGCAGGGTTCTCCTTATGTCCTTATGTTCCCTAACCACTTTCTCCATGTCATAATTTTGTAAACCACTAGAACATCTTTCTGATTCCCTTTGCCATTCGTAATCCTTTTTCTAAGCTGAAACATTTCTAAACATCACTTTGAAACAACCAAAGGGAGAAGGAGACTTTCTGAAGACCCCTATTTCTCGTCTCTCAGAAGGAGACAGCAGGCAGAATTTAGAAGAGGATGGGGTGAATACCAGCACAATGGCTAAAAGTGCCATTACTTTCAGTCCACTTGCAATGCACTTTGCCGCTGGATCTTACGGTGTGAAATGGCAACATGCACTTGCCAAAGATCACTAAAGTGCATGGAAAGTAGACTGAAAGTGCATTATTTGGTGCACGTGAAAGCATCCTAAGTTAAAGGTAAAGGTTTCCCTTGCTTGAAAGCTAGTTGAATCCAACTCTAGGGGGCAGTGCTCATCTCTGTTTCCAAGCCAAAGAGCCAGCACTGTCCGAAGACATTTCCATGGTCATGTGGCCGGCATGACTAAATGCCAAGGCGCACAGAACGCTGTCACCTTCCCACCAAAGCGGTACTCATTTATCGACTTGCAATTTCTTGCTTTTGAACTGCTAGGTTGGCAGGAGCTGGGGCCAGAGACAGGAGCTCACTCCGTCATGCGGCACTCAGGTCTCGAACTGCTGAATTTACAGACCTTCCAGTCTGCAGCTCAGCATCTTAACCTCTAAGCCACCGTGGCCCCTTGAAAGCACCCTAACTACACACAAAAGGATTTATTCCTCAGGCACGATCACATCCCGCGACTTCTTTCCTGCCATTTCCACCTCCCATTAAGTATCTGCATCTGCAGTCATCTGAGACGCTTTCCCAACAGATCCTCTCAATCTCTTCTGAGCTCCCCAACTGATAGTCACCGGCTTCAAAAGACTTGGAGGTGGGAAACATTAATTACTTTTTTTAAAAAGAACAATCTGCTGTTTTCTGCTGTTAATTAAGTCGGTGCTGAGAACGGTAGTCATAACCTACACGGTGTTTTCTGCTTGAAGGGGACTTTCCCCCTCCCCGTGCGTTTTAATTAGTTCCCTCTCCCCTGTAGCCTGAGAAAATTCCCCTGGCTAAATTTAATCCTTTTTATCTTGCAATCAGATGTTTTCAGTCTTGTTGTCCCTGGCCCCACATTTTAGGAAACTAAACACCTGTTGCCCCACCAACAACAACAGGATATTTCCCATGTACTGTCCATAGGGCTGCCAACCTCCAGGTGGTATCTGGAGATCTCCTGGGATTACAACTGGTCTCCAGGTGACACAGATTAGACAGAGAAAATGGCCACTTCGGAAGGTGGACTCTATGAAACTATACCCCATAGAAGCCCCTTCCCCTCCCCAACCCCCGCTGTCCTCAGGCTCCACTCCCCAAATCTCCTGGTATTTCTTAGTCGGGAGCTGGCAACCCTAACTGTCAATCTTCTTTAAAGCCAACCAGTCATCCATCAGCATCATGCATCAAAAGGGCAAGTATCCCCCCCCCATGCCAGGAATGATGTAAGAATCGAAGGCAGCAGGTATTGGGAAGGACCTTTCTCTGCCCGATAACTTGGAGATCCAGCTGCCAGTCAGAGTAGTGACTTGATATAAGGCAGCTTTGTAGGGCAAGGCCAAGCCAAGGAAGCACTGGAGGAATACAGAGATCTTCTATTTCAGAGTTGGGTGAGCTGAGAGATTCCTCAAGATGGGTAGCCTTGTTAGTTGTTCGAGTCCTGACAATTTCTGGAGGAATCCTCATGCGTAAAGAGAGCCAGTGAGGTGCAGTGGTTAAAGTGACAGACAGGATGTGGGAGACCTAGATTGGAATCCACACTTGTGCTGAAGGAGGAGAAGAAGAAAAAGAAGAAGAGGAGGAGGAGCAGGAGATTGGATTTATACCCCGCCCTTCACAGGAGGGCCTGGCAGGAGCTGGTCCATGGGGTCGCGAAGAGTCGGACTCGACTGTGCGACTGAACAACAACAACAACTTCACTACCTGAAGGAGTCTCAGAGCAGTTTACAATCTCTTTTCCCTTCCCCTCCCCACAACAGACACCCTGTGAGCAATGCTCCCTCTAAGCCGTGGAGTCTTGTGAGCAAAAATTCTACTTTGTGAGCTACTGGCATTAAAGTTGTGAGCGGGCGATTTGGCTACTGCATAAATTAGCTTTCTCCAGAGCCATCCTTCCTGAGCGAAGGCAAAAATGTGTGAGGCGGAGGCTAAAAAACTGTGAGTTAGCTCACGTTAACTCAGCTTAGAGGGAACACTGCCTGTGAGGCAGGTGGGGCTGAGAGAGCTCTTTCGAGGACTGCTCCTGAGAGAACAGCTCTGAGAGAACTTATGACTGACCCAAGGTCACACCAGCAGCTGCAAGTGGAGGCGTGGGGAATCAAACCCACTTCTCCCAGGTTAGAGTGCGTGCTCCTAACCACCACACCAAACTGATCTTGGGCCAGTCAGACTCTCTCAGCCTCATTTACCTCACGGGATTGTTGTGAGGGTAAAATGGAGGAGAAGAGGAGGATGCTGTACGCTGCTTTGAGTACAAGTATTTAAATCAGAATACATAAATTCTGCAAATGGCAGCAATCGGGCTTCTGATCAATCAAATGGGTCCTCCTTGCGCAGAACTCTCACGAAACGTCCCTTTGCCATGGCGTCTCGTGAAGCCCCGTGATTTCTGCTTTCAGCCTTCAAAGTCGAAGGCGGCAGCTGCTCAGCTACGGCCAACGCAGGTGCAAACAAAATCACCAGCCGTGACAAGGGTCTTCCAGCACAGTGCTGAATCCAGGCCCAGGCAAGCGGCATTTAGCTGAAGAACGGAATGGGAGAGGCGGGATTCTCTTTGGGGCCAACTTGCCAAGGTCAGCCCAGGTCTCTCGCACCCTTGAGCCAGAAGACAAAATGTTTCCACGGGGCACCATCGCCCCAAAGGCTAAAGGATCTTTCTGGCAGATTGCCTGTGTGGCAAAAGCTATTTCAGTGTTAAAATGCGCTGGAAATGCTTCTGCTTGCCGTTGGTGGGTGATTTCTGGCCTCCCGGCTCAGAGCTGCATTTGCAGCCGAATGCAAACAAATGGCGATGAGATTTCGTAGCGAGAACCGAAAACCGGGGCGACGTGCCGCTCTCGCATCTCGCTTGTGGCTTTTGGGAAATAACTGACCGAAAGCAAAATCAGACCTCAAAGGGGACATAGTTCAGGGATGGAGAACATTTGTAGACAGGAGGGTCCTGTGTTCACTCTCTGGTACCTCTAGCTGAAAGCTGGGGCAGGAAAGACCTTTCTCAGCTGAGACCTGGGGATCAGTTCCAGTCAGAGCAGATGCTACTTGCAGCAGTGCTAAGAAAAAGAGAGAGCCAGTGTGGTGTAGTGGTTAGGAGCATTAAACTAGTATCTGAGAGACCCAGGTTCGAATCCCTACTCATGCCACAGAAACTCGCTAGGTGACCCTGGGCCAGTCACCCTCTATCAGCCTAGACTACATTACAGGGTTGTTGTGAGGATAAAATGGAGGAAAGCAGAACAATGTAAGTCACTTGGGGAGAAAGAAAGGGTACAAATGAATTAATTAAATAGGTTAAAAGGGTCTTCATTCTTCTTTACCCAGTTTCTCCCTGAAATCCAGTAATCTGCCCCCTCTCCACCTGTTAGGAATTTGGAGTCTGCTTTGAATCAATTCCATTTTTGGCAAAAAAGGGGGGGGAGTTTAAAGAGAGGAGGGGCAGAAAAGGAGGTTCTGCAGGATTTCACCCGGCCCTTGCTCAGAGGCAGGCAACGTCTCCCCAGACCTTCTCATCTTCCTACTAGAGCATCACCACGTTATTTGTAAAGTGAAACAACAGCAAGAATTGAAGTTACAAGAGGGCGCCTTGATCTTTCTTCAAGCAGAAATCAGAAAAATGAAAAGAGAAACCTTCCTTTTAAAAGGGAAAAATACAGAGAACAAGAGGAATCAACCGCAAATAGTGGATTTTGGGAAAACGAAATTCCCCTCCCTACAAAAACGCTACTGTTTGTTTATTTACTTCAGTTATACCCCGCCTTCCTCCCCTAAGGAGACCCGGAGCAGCTTAACATTCTTCCATTCCCTATTTTATCCCTTCTGAGGTCGGTGAGACTGAGGGTGTGTGACTGGCCCAAGGACACCCAGCAAGCTTCCATGGCAGAGCAGGGCTTCGAATCCAGGTCTCCCACATTCTAGTCCAGCACTCTAACCGCTACACCACACTGGCTCTCTGCTGAACTAGACGGACCAACAGTCAGGGCCTTTCTTAGGGGGCTTTCTGAGGACTACCAGTAGATATTGTTCTGCGCAGCAAAAGGCTCTCCAGGGTGATAATTATGGGTGTGGGAAACCCCCCCCCCCCGGTCTTTTTTTGGTTCAGGTATCTCTCCTTATTATAAAAGAGTTTTGGTGTCCCTCCTGCACACGCTCCCGCAGCCTTTCGCTCTCGCACCTGCCAGTCTGAAGGATTCCCTGGCTGCATTGGCTAGCTCCCTTGCCTCTGTCCCACCCACAGAGGTGCTGAGCCGGCTGGCAGTGTCTCTGCCTCACTGTGCTTTGAGCCAGCCAAGGGGATGGGCGCTCTGGTGGACGGAGGGTGAGCAGGCCCACTGGGAGAGGTGGAGAAGAGGCGCAAGAGCCCACATATGTTCCAAAATGCCACAGTCAAGGTGGGGGCAGGGCGGCGACTGCTGCAGCAAGAGGCCGCCCCTCTCCTGGCAGCCTTGTTGTCATTGTCCGCCCCAGCTGAGGCGGCTCTGACACTGCTCTGCACTGCACCGTGCCGCCACCACACCGAGAGGCCTCCCTGATGCGGGCCCACCGCCATGCCAAGACCCTCCTCCTCTCTGACCCTAGCAACAGGAGCTGGGACACAGCCACCGGCAGAGTGCCTATGCTCTACCCATCGCTGTGCCCCACGGACGAGGCCACCACCGCCCCTTCTTCTCCCGAGAGGCGGGCTGCCAGATGGCGGCCCAGCTAGAGCTCGTTGCATTTGTCTCCGCAACGGGCCATCTTCCTAGTATTGAATAATGCTATGGTATTCCCCTCCCTACAAAATATTCAGGAAACCCGAATTTTTTTCGGCTCCATTATACCCTATGGAGAATTGACTGGGGGTATCTGCGGCTCAATGGTGGGGCTGTTTTTTGAGGTAGAGACACCAGATTTACAGCATAGCTGCTGATGCCTCTCCTCAACCCCCCAAAGTTTAAAAAAGATTGGACTAAAGGGTCCGATTCTATGGGCCCCTGAAGAAGGTGCCCCCATCCTCCATTGATTTCAATGGAGGAAAAAAGGCATTTAAAGGCAACCAACCTTTAATTTTGTCTATCCAGCGGTCCTGAAAATCCCTTATATTTTTGGGATTTTGGGGGGCTTGCCCATTTCAGATACACGAACAATATCCAAAATCTATATCCAGCTGAACCAATACCCCCAAAATACCGATAAGGTATATTTTGGGTATTCTTTGGCTCGCATTTAGCTGAATGCACACCCCTAGTGAAAATGTAGTTCTTGACAGAGCCCTGGCTTGGATGGCCCAGGCTAGCCCAATATCATCAGATTCTGAAAGCTAAGAGGGGTTGGCCCTGGTTAGTACTTGGATGGGAGACCACCAAGGAAGACTTGGTTTGCTACACAGAGGCAGACAATGGCAAAGCATCTCTGCTTGTCTCTTGCCTCGAAAACCCCACAGAGTCACCATAAATCTGCTGCAACTTCCTGGTGCTTTCCACCACCAGATTTACACCCTTCTAAGATGCAAACTCTGCTTAGGATTGCAGCAAGAGTCATGGAACTTCAGTGTCCTGGAGAGTTGGATTCTATCTCTCAGGCCTTCATGGGAGCAGCTTTGTTTTGCATGAGACAAAACGGTGAATTTATCCCCTCCAGGCAGTTTTGGACTTTCTCTGCACTGTTCCTTCTAAGATTCCACACAGCTGTCTCAAAACATGGCTTCTGTGCTTATAATGGGAGCCTAGACACAGATCTGACACATATAGGGTGCGTTCAGACGCGCCATTTGATCTGGTGTCGTGACTGTTCAACAACGGATTTTATATGCATGATCACAGAGTCGACATCTGCCTCCCATCCCCAGCCATTGGTTTCCGGCTCAAAACCCCCCTTTAACCCAGAGTCTTTTGTTACCAGATCCCAAGTGGTGTTTTCTCAGTTCTCCCGTTTAAAGCCGCATTTTTCGGCTGTTTGATTGCTCCTTCGGTATCAAGCCACTTCCGGTGGTAAGTGTGATCACAATTATCCAGATTAAAGATAATCGTGTCAGAACCGGACCAGTTTAAACCGGTCTCAGCACACCGTCTGAACGCACCCTCAGGGTGTCCAGTGCATTACCTGGGTTTGCTAGATATTCATAATCGTATCCCAGGTCTTGCGACAAAATGAAGAATTCTATGTTCCTTGAGAGAGGAATGAAGGGGACCATGTAGGATTCCCGGTTGTGTCCGATGGGGGCGTTGGCTGCAGGGTAAACCTCACGGTCGGGTCGGTGTCTTCTGAGCCACTGTTCAAAGATGCTGTAGAAAGAGGCATTCGTGTTAGCAATCGTGGCAAATAGGTAAGGGACTTTTTTGCGAAGAGGAGAAATGCAGCTGGCCCAGTTCTCTCAAGGAGGTTTTTTCCCTCTTGTAGGGTGGTTGGCTTCATTTGAGGCTGTGTGTTGACAAAATAGGTTTTGAAATGGCATACGACTAGGAGCATTTAAGTGGAGGACACCTGGGAGTGGGAGTCCTGCTGACACTCTGATAGCTCTTCTTTGGGAGTGATGTCATGGCACCTGCAATACTCCAGGAATTCCCCCAATCCCTATGGGAAAGACCATAGAGATTTGGAAGCATTCCTAGAGCATCACAGATGCCAAGAGGTCATTCCCCCCGTTTTTCTGCCTACATTCCATTGAGAAAGTGTGGAGGATGGAGTGGGGGGGTTTGACCGCTGCGGGTGGGCATCTGATAAGCCCCTATCATATCCTATATCTTGCTGTGTCTTCTGATCAAAAAGGCTCTCCAGAACCTGTAAGGTGACTTCCACATGATGTCGGAGCTCTTATTGCTGGCAACAAATTGCCCATGTGGTTCTTTTCCTCACACTTCCCTGGATGCCCCGCTCTGAAAGAGCCACTAATCTGGAGGAATGTTTCAGCATCCTGCAACATCAGAGGAAGGTCTTGGCCTCTCTGCCCTGCTTATTGATCCTCTGTGGCAACTGGTTGGCAAGTGCGTGAACCAGGATGCTGGAACTGACAGACCACTAGTCTGATCCAGCAGGGCTCTTCTAATGTTCTCGCTTTGAAAACAACGCCCAGTGCAGTACAGTTTGCACACCCAAAGACTAGAAAACAGAAGTGGAAAGACCAGGGCTCCATTCAGCTGTACGCTGGCCTTCTCATGCATATGCAGCTTACAGAGCTACACAGAGCCACATTGCAAGTTCGGAAGAGGAATACTTCTCTCTTTATTCGAGAAGTGCACTTTGGATAGGAAAGGGTAGAAACATGATAGATTACTAACTTACAAGCTAAAGGATGGAGGCAGATGGTGAGAGGCCCATCTGCCTCATGGGGCCAAGAGAGGACTGCATCAGTGTTCCCTCTAAGCTGATTTGGTGTGAGCTAGCTCACAGTTTTTTAGCCTCCAGCTTACACATTTTTGTCTTAGCTCAAGAAGGATGCCTCCAGGGCAAACTAATTTATGCAGTAGCCAAATCGCTCACTCACAGCTTTAATGCTCACAAAGTAGAATTTCTGCTCATAAGACTCCACAACTTGGAGGGAGCATTGGACTGCATGTCCCCTCTCTTGGTGCATGCAGGTAGAGAGCAAGTCTTCATTCAGAAAGAGAGAGAGAGAGAGAGGGGGGGGGGCAGGAAAGAGAAACTGGTCCCTGAGATCACAATCTGCATATCAAAGAGGACAGTGGCAGAAGAGTAGATACAGGAAGAAAGGTCAGTGTGCCTATCTAGCTATCTAGCCTCTCTTGCCACTCAGGCTGGAGGTCTGAGACAGGGACATCGCATCTGGAACTTCCAACAGACAGTCCTTCAGATACCCTGGCCCCAAGCCATGTAAGGGCTTTGAAGGACAAAAACAATACCTTGGGTTTGGGAGAGGGTCAATAGCCAGTGTAAGCATAATAGGCCACACCTAACAGCAGAAACTCATTAGGATTGGCTTCATTAGGGGTGTGTGGTCTAACATGCAAAGAAGTTCCTGCTCCAAAAAAAGCCCAGGGTTTTGACAACAAACAAGGTAAACAGAATAAGAAGCAAAAGGTGAGTGTGGTAACATGGCGTGTGGCCTAATATGCTAATGAGCTGGGTGTCAGGGGTGTGGCCTATTATGCTAATGAGTTCCTGCTGGGCTTTTTCTACAAAAAAACCCCCCTGCACGGAATGGATGTCATCCTGCAGTTTCCACTTTATGAAAGTTTATGGACGGTGCCATTAGTAGCCCGAGGGTGGAACGCTTTGTCCTCACTGGGGCAGTCAAATGCAGAATTCACCTGAATTGGGGTTTTGCAGTGCTGGCTCCTCCTCTGCTCACACGGTGAGAAAAAGAGAAGTCCATCCAGACTTTGCTCTTCGGAATCTAAGCCAGGCAAGGCTAACCTTTTCGAAATAAAAGCATGAATCATTTCCGCAGCGGCGGAAGGGCGCCCAGTCGCCTGCTCCGTAATTACCTGGGACGTAATCAGGGTGAAAGACCTTACACAGTCTAACATCACATGAGCCAAAGAGCACCGGCTCAGAGATTAGCAGACCAAGGGGTGGCACTCATAATAATTTATCAGTATGTTCACCAAGTTTGGGGGAAAGTTTGCAGTCTGAACCTTTTCTTTTAAAAATGAACTTTTGCAACAAGAGAGAAGGGAAGACATTGGATTTATACCCCGCCTTTCACTATCTGAAGGAGTCTCAGAGTGGTTTACAATCCCTTCCCCTACCCCTCCCCACCACAGACACCCTGTGAGGGAGGTGGGGATGAGAAAGCTCTCTCGAGAACTGCCTTTGAGAGAACAGCTTTGAAAGAACTTGTGACTGGCCCAAGGTCACACCTGCAGCTGCATGTGGAGGCGTGGGGAATCAAACCCGGTTCTCCCAGATTAGAGTCCACGTTTCTAACCACTACACCAAACTGGCTACACCACTATACCAAACGAGGCGAATAACCTTTCCGCAAGCTATATGTTTCACAGTCTCATCAGATCTTGGAAGTTAAGCAAGATCAATGCTGGTTAGTACTTGGATGGGAGACCACCAAGAAAGTCCAGGGTTCCTACATAGAGAAAGGCAGTGGCAAACCACCTCTGTTCATCTCTTGCCCTGAAAACTCTATGAAGCCATAAGTCAGTTATAACTTGACACCACCATATTCTGCTTATGTAATCTGCAAGGACAGGCCAAGCGCTTGCTAGAACAAGGCCCATGCTTTGACCACTCAGACCTTGTTAGATCTGCAAGATGCCCATCTAGAGCAGTGTGGTGTTTTCGACAGAGGTAAGCCAGGTGTCCCTGTCAAATTCACAGCAGGGAATTATAATAATGGCCATCCTAGTTGTTTTTTTATCAGAAAGTACTCGGGTGTATTCTGTCTCTGAAAAACAGGTTGCTTACTCATAACTGATTATCTTCTTCGTGGTCATCTGTGCAGTCACACCCATGGGATTATGCGCCCGCGCTGATCCGAATCAGTGGTATGCAAAGCTCACAACAGGATTTTCGCGCCTCCCTCCCAGGCATGCGCGGGAACCCCACTGCGCATGCCCAAGGAGGAGGGACACGGACATCCTGCCAGTTCCTTCTGACCGCTGTCATGTCAATAACCAGAGAAAAGTACTGAAGCGACAGCAGTGGGGAAGGACGGGTGCGTGGTGTGACTGCACAGATGACCACGAAGAAGATCATGCAGATTCCACTCAGTGACTGGCCCTGTGGAATTTCTCAAAGGTCAGGCTTCTGAAGTTTCACTAGATATTGTCTATTTTCAGGTTTACAATACCAGCCAGAATGGACAGTAATTTGCTTATTAAAACATAAAATGAAAGCCGAGACTCCCTGGATGCTGTGAGGCCACTTATTTGGCAGAATTACCTAACAGAAATTGCAACCAAATTCAATGTGGACCCCCCCCCCCCCCGATTTGGAAATGTATGCCATAAATACCCAAAGTCTAGAAAAACTGAAATGGGCAAAGGCTGCCATTTTGAGATGCCCTCACTGATTTTTATTCTAAGGGACAAGGCGATATTTGATTCATAGAACAGAGTGGGGAAAAGCTAAAAGCCACCCCTGCCATGGGCTGAAACTGAATAGGGCCCCCATCCCTTAGTATGTGAGTTTTTAAATATCTTTGAGAGTTCCATCCATAGAACTCAAAAATGTTTTGTGTAGTCAGACTCTGGACTCAGAGAAGTGGCCATTTTGTGTCAAATCCTGCGGTGAATGACAGAAAACCCTTCAACTTATAGACAGGGCTATAGTCAAAGTAAATGAATGGATGTGCCCTACCCACCTATTCTAGTCACCTGAGCCACTCACAGGTACTTTTTATGCACTGAGTGGTAGGAATGTTTGCCACTTGCTAAAAATCAGTGTATATGAGCACACATACAAGGGTCAAAACTTTCTGAGAACACTTTAACTGTGCTATCACCATCTTGTGATTTATGCATGGATTTGAATTTTAATCTTTTATTATATTACTAGGAATAAGGCCCATTGTGGAAATAAATACAATAAGCTCTAGAAAGAGGATCTGGGAGATTGCCCTGGCCTTGGGCACTCAGCGTCAATTTGCTGTGGCAACCTCAGCATAATGACACAGAGTCTACCATTTTCTCCAGAGGAACTGATCTCTGCTACCTGAAGAGAAGTTGTAATTTTGAGTGATCTCCACCCCTCACCTGGAGATTGGCAACAATGGTTTCCCAGATTGGCAACAATGGTTCCCCAGGAGGAAATGACTAGTTTGGAGGGTGGCGTCTATGGCATTGTACCTGTCTGAGGTCCCACCCCTCAAACACCACCGTCTCCAGCCTCCACCCCTCAAGACTTCAGGAATTTCCCAACCTGGATTTGGCAACTCCATCTCCTTCCCAGCCCTTAACTGCCTCTCACTCTTCAGCTTTCCGTCTCCCACACACACACCTGCAGCCTCTACCATGCTCTGAAGCCCTGACTGCTACGTCACATTGGCTGTCATAGGAGGGCCATCTCAGCAGGGTATAAAGACACAGAGTCCACCATTTTCTCCAGGGGAACTGATCATCAGGCATCATAGACTTTACCATAAAATTTCCAGGAATTTCCCTACCTGGAGCTGGCAACCCTAGTCAGGACTGGCACCAATGAGTTTTCTCCCAAAGACCAAAATAGGCATGGAAAGGGCCTTTTACTGACAGAACCAAGCCTAGCAACAAGCACTGAGGGGAAAGTAGGGTTGCCAGCTCTGAGTAGGGAAATACCTGGAGAGTTGGGGGGTGGATCCTGTGGAGGGCAGCATTTGGGGAGGGGGAAGAAC